ATGATAAATTAACGTATCAATTGGAGCGCCCCCCCCCCCTTCTTCTTCAGGTAATTTATCAGAGAAGTTTCCAATAATGATTTTGTTTGAGAACAAATGCAATAAGAATATTCCTATTAGGTAGTGCTTCTTTGTGATTATTAGCTTATCGTTGTAGTCTCATTAGCCTCATGAAATGTGCTGATATGATGGTAAATAAGCCATATATTTAGAAGGGTAAACATCATAAAGCCCTCCTAACTCTTGACGATTTTAGAAAACCCAGAAAATGTCAGAAACCGCCCCTTAAATATATGGACTATCACAAAACACTTCTTTAGCTGTCAGGTTCTAATGTTCTATTAATAAAAATCATTGAGATTTTATGAGAATGTCCCACTAATTTAGGAGGTTTTTTATAAAGTCTTAAAGTCAAATGGGGTTTTCTAAATAAACCCCCTAAATAAGAGAGGTTTTCTGATATCGTGAAAGTTAGGGGTTTTCTGCATATCGTGAAAGGTAGTGGCGAGTGTTTTTTTTTTGGGGGTGGTGGTGCCGGGTTGCCGTACGGGGCGGGACGGTGTTATGATATCTAGCCTATTTAGAAATTAAAAGTCGACTCCTACATTTATTTGTTCAATCTACAATCTACGAGAGATGTCTATTTTCGTGTAGAAAGTAGAGATCAATAGTTCGTTCACTGTAAAATTCTTAGCCTTCAAGACTAGAGAATCAACCTAATTGCCCTTTTGAACCCTATTTCTATCTTTTGTTGATAAATTAGCTAATTTTGAACCTTAGCTAGACTCTTGCTATCTCCCTACATTGTAAGAACAAGTGTACGTGTTATAATTCTGTTCAAGTTAAACACATCAAGCGTGGAACTTAACCAGTAAGGAGTTTTTGTTTGGCAACTAACTAGTACAAGCTTGAATTACGTTTCACATAGGATACTAAGATTTAACTTTTAATTTGAAGTTGAATTGAGATTGATATTATTTGAAGAATTGAATTTTAAAAAATTAAGAGGCTGTTTGGTTGATGTATTTGACATTGGGGGCTGGGCAGAAAGCCTGCAGAAAGCCTGCCAAAAATACTCTTTTGCTAGGCTTTCTGCCCAGCACCTAATGCCAAATATATCAACCAAACAGCCCCCTCGATCAGATATTCGCAAACCACGATATGGCTCAGAACCCGAAACCTTTAGCTCTTAAATTCCGCACGTGTTCGGGATCAAGTGGTCAACCAAAAGAGTGACGCGGAGCAGAATACCGCACGCGATCGGGTCACCGCCCATTACTGTTTATAAATAAACCAGAGGGCACGGTCCTTGACTTCACGTGTCTCCCGTTCTCACGCTTGGTGAAATCTCGTGCTGGGGTTTCTGTTCTTGCTTACTCGAATCTGAGGTGAATTTTGTTTTGTTTTTTTTCCTCTCCATTTATATGAAGAATTTTATACTCTGTTGTCGGTTTGAGGATTCTTGAGAAATTGGGATTTATTTCTCCCCTCTGATAGAGAAATCTGCTTGTCTTATGTTGGGGTTGGTTGATTTCTTGATTTATAAGATAATTTGTGGAGAGATGTTGTCATTCTTTTGGTTTGGTGGGAAATTAGGGTTTTTTATATGTTTGGTTGATGTGCTACTATATGTTACACTGATTTGATTTCTTGGGGAAAAAATTTCGAAATAAAAGTAGACGGTCTACTCTTGTAAAATTAAGATCTTTTTTAGGTTTTTTGAAGTTAGGTGCTACTGATTTATGTTGGGGGGCATATTTGATGTTAGTATTCCTGTTTTCTGATTGAGGAGATCTAGGAGGATAGGTAGAATTATTGTTTGTCAAGTTGAATTGTGATTTTGGGCTTTACAAAATCTGTTGATTATATATTAAACTGAGATTGATTTAATTATTTTGGACTCCTATGTTATATGGATCAAATCCTCGTTGGCTAATATTATTTAGCTAGATCAAGCTCCACATCACCTCATCTAGGTTTTGGTGAAAACATAGGAGCAGTGTTTCCCTTGTTGCATTGAAAGAACAAATTTTTTAAACAGACCCATTTCAATTTTTAATTTTCAAAACCGACTCTTTTTTTTTTATTTACCAAAACCGACCCGATTTTATGATTAGCAGATTAATCACCTTCCTAAATAGTCGGGGTTGGCAACCCCGACTATTTAGGACGGTGTTAAACCCTAATTAGAAGCATTAAACCTTAAAAATTAATGTCCTAAATAGTCGGGGTTGCCAACCCCGACTATTTAGGAAGGTGATTAGTCTGCTAATCACAAAATCGGGTCGGTTTTGGTAAATAAAAAAAAAAGAGTCGGTTTTGAAAATAAAAAGTTGGAATGGGTCTGTTTAAAAAATTTGTTCTGCATTGAAATCTTAGGGTTTAGGCGTTTTCTTCCCCTATGTGTTATAGACTTGTGGATCTTATAAAAATAAATAATTTTTTATTGATTCGTCCGTTGGTTTTAGATGTGATGCAACGTTGCAAACATGCCGTTTTGTGGAACATGAATTTATCCTCGTTTGACATAAAATATGATAATAATCCTGAAATAGATAAATCTCAATGACTTTGTCAGATTAATTTTCGACAAAGTTATATTCTTTAGCACGGGATTATTTCAATTGTGCACTCAGGGTAGATAAGTATTAAGTTCCATCATTTATGAAATTATAGAAGTCAAGTTAAGCCAGATATATGTTGAGTTGGTACTACAGAGAACTATAAAATCATAAGCTGTATAATAATAGCAAAATTTTGGTTTAGATTAATTTTCTATTGATATAAATAATCACTTGAATTTTTTTCTGTCGGGCCACTTTCTAGTGACATGATGTAAACTTATTGGATACGGCATAATAGCCAGTCAGTATTGCATCAGTGGCATTTAGTGATTTAGTGTATAGTTTGTTTTTCAGATGCTGAAGTTCGAATATTTTTTTGTAAAATTTTACGGAGGATGCTTTGAGATAAGCTACTGTACATGTTAATTTTCACCACTCTATAATTGCTGGCCTGTTCATTTATATATATATATTATATATATATTATATATATGAGAAAACGGTAGGTGAGCCTGGCAGCGTAGGAAATTTCCATACGTTGCAAGTGTATGACATGTGAGCCCCCTACTAGTCACATCGGTGTGGGGCTCACATGTCATACACTTGCAGCGTAGGAAATTTCCTACGCGCCAGCTCACCTCCCGTTTTCTCATATATATATATATATATATATATATATATATATATATATATATATATATAAGAGAGAGAGAGAGAGAGAGAGAGAGATATGGAGAACTTTGGTACCAAGTTTTTTCATTAAACTTGGTAGTGAGGTGGCAAATCTAGCCCCTACATCATGCCTCGGAGATGGAGCCTCCTTTTTAAAGTATGTGAATAGTAATTGAGCTCTCTCTCCGAGGCATGATGTAGGGTCTTGATTTGGCCACCTCACTATCAAGTTCAATGGAGAAACTTGGTACCAAGGTTCTCCATATTTCTCATATATATATATATATATATATATATATATATATATATATATATTATATATATATATATATATATATATATATAATATATATATATAGAGAGAGAGAGAGAGAGAGAGAGAGAGAGAAATATGGGTATGCTTGCTACCAAGCCACAAAAAATTGTGCTTGGTAGTGAGGTGTCACATCTCCCTCTACTCATTCAAATGTGGGACCACATTCACATGGGTAATGAGTGGATGGAGATGTGACACATCACTACCAAGCACAAATTTGTGCTTTGGTACCAAGCATACCCATTTCTCATTATATATATATATATATATATATATATATAATATATATTATATATATATATATATATATATATATATATATTATATATATATATATTTACTGCTCAAAATTAGGTGACTCAAATTCATAACTGGAAGATGGATGAATATTCATACGGCCTTATTATGATCCTGAATCTATGACAGTATGACACACACACAGTCAAAATTAGGTGACTCTTAAATTCATAACTGGAAGATGGATGAACATTCATATGGCCTTATTATGATCCTGAATCTATGATAACTACATGGATTTTTTGCTGTTATGTGCTTTCAAATATGTCAGTTTGATTGATGGTTGTCCTCACTTAAGTTTTTATTATGTTTTCAGTGTCAGCTCTTGAGCATATAGAGGAGTAAAGAAGCAATCAAGTGTAACCCGGAAAGTCAAGAGTTCATGTCTGATCTCGACGTTCAGATTCCCACTACTTTTGGTATGGTTAAAAATAGCTTAGCACCTTCTTTTTCCATTCTAGTGGAGATTTATTTAGTAAATAATATTCTGACATGAACTTGCTTTTGTTGAAGATCCTTTTGCTGAGGCAAATGCTGATGACTCTGGTGCTGGAAGCAAGGAGTATGTGCATGTGCGCGTACAGCAGCGCAACGGTAGGAAGAGTCTGACAACTGTGCAGGGATTGAAGAAAGAGTTTAGCTACAGCAAGATCCTCAAGGATCTCAAGAAGGAGTTCTGCTGTAATGGTACTGTTGTCCAGGATCCAGAGTTGGGCCAGGTAATTACTTTACACCCTTTTCTCCCCTTAAATTATCTCTTAGAATAGTGCTTCCTTGTATTATTTCTTGCTTGTGGACTCAATCCTCAATGTCTTTAAGACATCTATTTTGAAGTTTGCTCTCTGGTTGAATGACCTGTCTTCTAGCCTAGAAGTTAAGAAAGCACTTTTTTGAGACCTAATAGTTGTTGTCTAGGTTAGATTTGGCTCCTAAAAAACATGAGCAACCTAACTGCTCACATTGTTGTTATGGAATCAAGATTTTGGCATTAATCTAGCTACTTCGCTTTTAGCAGGACACTTATTGTTTATATGTTGCTATGTTCTCTTGTTATTGATTGGTTCTCTTTTTAGTGGATAGTCGCCTAATCTTGGTTGACATATGCAGGTCATTCAACTCCAAGGTGATCAGAGGAAGAACGTTTCAACTTTCCTTGTTCAGGTATCCTGTTTCCCCTATGATGGTGTTTAATTTCTGTACTTCTGTTGTTTAAGCATTGAGACTTAAGTTGCAATTTGTATTGTGGTGTAGGCGGGCATTGTGAAGAAGGAACACATCAAAATCCATGGTTTCTAAGTAATTACCTGCAAAGAAGTCACCACGATAGAAGACTGTGATACAGCAACTAGCAGCTTTTAGATATATTAGGTTTTCTAGTAAATGCTTGAACTTGCCAGTTTCTGAGTTTGCAGTGGAGTTTCTGAGGTTGTAATACAATGCTTGAATTTACCGGACCTTCAGTAGTTTATGCTAGAACTTTGCGTTCCAGATTATGTTCCCTGCCAGTTTCGTAGTGTTGCTCAAATTTCTAGTTCTTAATTGTTTTTTTTCGTCAAGGTCGTTTTTTTTAACCCAATGTCACAGTGAGATGGTGATTTAGTGGAGCAAAGGTAATTTGTAGAGGATGTCTTGGTCATGATGCTATCTGGCATTGCTGATTGGCGAGCTCTCCCGCTATCATCAAATTATCATTGATGTGATCCCCTATTTGTGATTTCTCACTGGTGTTGCTATGCTAGTTGGATGGTTACCGAAGATGTTGAGGTTTGGAATCTCTGGATGATTATTAAGGGTGTTAGCTCCAGGCTCAATCTTCAACAAATGCTGTCAATTTAACAGTTCTATTGTGGCAGCCAAGTATTGGGAATGGTAATGCAATGTGAACGTTTGTTAGGAAGCTCATACAAGGTAACATTGAGGACTTGTACCTCCTGGTGAATGGAGAATCACAATGCTGCTATGTTTTTGAGGATTATCGAGTGGATTTATTTATTCCTCATTCTCTGATTAGTTTTTTCCTGCATACTAT